CTAGAAGTCCAGAACTTCAAATGTGATGAGATGGTTTATCAACAGTGTCTCAGGGTTTCTTTGAAAAAAAAAAAAAAAAAGATATGTTCAACCACTCAGTTCTTAGCTAGAATATAGATTTTAGACTCTACTTCTTGTGTATTATAATTTCATGTATATGGAAAATGAAACTACATATTTCTAAATTTAAAAGTAAATTCCATTCCCTTGATGAAATAAAATCTCTTTTCAGAATACATCTGTTCCACCAGCAAATTCTAATTGTGTTTCCCATGGAATTTGTCCAAATTCCAACCACCTTTACCACTCCATGATATTTAAAGATGGCCTTAGTTCTTCCTTAACTCCGTCTTCCATAGCAGACTCCTGGCTTCCTTTCCCTCTTTCCTGAAGAATCTGGCTGTTTTCTTCTCCTTCTCCTCTTTGTTAATCTCTTGTATCCTCTTTTCTCTGTGCCAGCCCTAACAGACACACTATTTTGTTTCTACCATGTTTTGACCCTTCGTCCTGTATCCTTCATGTGAGTATAATCTTACATGCCCTGTATAATCTCTCTCTCTCTCTTTTTTTTTTTTTTTTTGAGATGGAGTCTTGCTCTCTTAACTAGGGTGGAGTGCAGCAGCATGATCTTGGCTCACTGCAACCTTTGCCTCCTAGGTTCAAGCGATTCTCCTGCCTCAGCCTCCTGAGTAGCTGGGATTAACAGGCATAGGCCACCATGCCCGGCTAATTTTTGTATTTTTAGTAGCAGACACACCGTATTTGGGTCTCAAACTCCTGACTTCTAGTGTTCTGCCTGCCTGGGCCTCCCAAAGAGATGGGATTACAGGCATGAACCACCATGCCTGGTTGCCCCCCCCCAATATTATTTCTATTCTTGATCTAACATTTCTTACAAAGATACGTGTCATATTAAAGTACATTCGTTTTTAACAGAAATACTGTAATAATGTAGTTGGAAAAATTCCACAACTATGTCTGATTTACATTCTGGTAACAAACAGCCCATCTCACCTCTTGAAAAATTTTTAATGAATACTTGACCTGAACTATAGCTCATAACAATGTATTGTATACTTGAAAATTGCTGAGAGAATAGATTTTAAGTGTTCTCACCAAAAACAGAATGATAAATATGTGAGGGACAATGCATTTGTTAATTAGCTTGATTTAACCATTTTTCAATTAATACATATTTCAAAGCAATCTTGTAATATATACATATACAATTTTATTTGTCAATTAAACATAAATTTAAAGAAGATAATCATTTAGTTAGCCTATTCTTTAAAATGGGCCAACTTACTTTTTCTTTCCTTTTCATCTGTCTTTCTCGAGCTTGGGTCTCATCCTGTTGCCTATGCTGGAGTGCAGAGGCGTCATTATAGCTCACACAGCCTCAACCTCTCTGGCTCAAGTGATCCTTCTGCTTCAGCCTCCCAAGAAGCTGGGACTACAGGCTCATACCACCATGCCAGGCTACTTTTTATTTTTTGTAGAGATGGGAGTCTCTCTGTGTTGCCCAGGCTGCTTTTGAACTCTTGGACTCAAGTGATCCTCCTGCCTTGGCCTCCCAAAATGCTGGAATACACCACAGAGCCACCACACCTGGTCTTTTTTTTTTTAAATTAGTGGTTTTTATTACTTCCCTAACAATTTCTTAAATGAAACTGTTTTTATGCCACTGACTTGATTCATACTAAGCTACCACCAGCCTTGTTTTTGTGCCATCAATACAAACGTCAACATAGTGGGGAAAGGCAAATCCTGTCTGTATTATCATAAAGAATACTTTTGATTTCTCAGACAACTCAAAATGGTCATGGGGGCCCCTAGAGCACTGTGAACCCCAACTTGAGAGCTGTCATTTTAATTTGCAAAGGTATTCCACAAAATCATATTATTTCTTCTTTATATTTAGCCATTTTATAGATGAGGATGGAGCACTAAGAGATATTTCAACACTTAGTATACATTAGGAACTTAAAAGTCTTTGTGATATCAGTGAGTACACTAGACATACCTAAAATCCAGGTCCCATGATATTTGGTCATGTGTTCCTTTATTAAAGATTTACTTATTTCTCTAGGTGTCGATGGACATAGGGAACCAACAGCAATGTGAAGGAGGAACATCTAACTCTCTAACCTCCAACTGTGCCACAACTCCAACAATTTGTATGGCGGTGAGTGACATTAGTTACCCTGACTTGTTACACTACAAAACTTTGTGGGTGTAATTTCAGGCACTGGATTCAATATACGCAGACTACATTCTCAGAAATAATATTTTTTAAACTTGAGGCTGGCCTCCCAGTTATCTCCCCATGTGAACAGGGCAACTCTCTTGAGAAAGGAGCTCTTTTAGTTTTAAGTGAAGAAATGTAACTCATCAAAGAAAGCAGCGTGCAGGAGAGAAAAGACCAGCCACCTGGCAGACAGAAGACAGACTGGTTGAGGACAAATAGTGTAACTATTATAGAAGTGGATGCTTCTCTTTATCTTTTTTTTCTTTTTCTGTTTAACCTTTAAGCTCTGTTGGACTTGAGAAAGCATGGTTTCTTTGCTTGAAATGGGTCCATTTCTTAACAGTTGTTTGCAGCTCACTCACTGGTGTATTTCATTTTTTTTCTTTACTATGCATTCAACAAGCATCTGCCTGTAATTTCTATGTGCCAAGTGCTGGGCTATGTTCTAGCTACACAGCTGGGATCCTGGCCACTCATGGAGTTTCAGATGAGGGAACCGTATGAAACAAATACATATATAATAGATGCGGTGACAGATTTCTGTGACAGAGAATTGCAAGATGGACCTACTGAAAGATCAGAGGAGTGCAAAGCATTATGGGACAAAGAAGCTACAAGTATAATCAAAGAACTGAAAGAGAGACCATGTGGCTGAACAAGTAAACAAAAGGGCCACTGGTGTGGAACAAGGTTAGATGATAGGCAGGGGCCAGATAATGCAAGATCTTGCAGGAGGTTTATTCCATTCTAAGTACAAAAGAAGCCACTGAAAGGCAAAGTGGGGGACAGGGGACGTAGCGGGAGGTGGGGTGTGATGCATGACTGTATTGATGTTGTAGAAATACTTTGGCTATGGGATGAAGAACAAATTTGAGGGGGTTCCAGAGTGGAAGCCAGAACACCAGTGAGGAAGCTGCTGCTTTTAGAGGAACTAAGGTTCCTTGAAAAAATATATATAATCAATGGTAGAAACTTCCTGTTCAAATACGTCCAGGCACTGGGGGAGGAGAGGCTTCTTCCTCTTCCTTATTATTGTCTGGTGCTGTTATGTTAATTAATTTACATAATTGCTGATCTGTTAGGTGTCTGTCTCTCCTCTTAGAAGTAAACATACTGAGGACAGGAATGGTGCCTTGTTCACTCCTGTATCTGCAGTGCAGAGCACTGTTTGCCACATGGATTCTCAATAAATATGTGCTGAATGAATGAATGAATGGAAAGAAAAGAGTAAAAAGGAATACTTGACTTGGAAAATGTAGGCACACACACCAATGTAAACAGATACCCCCTGTAAGAAGTTGTGATGGTCTCAAACTGCAGATACTTTTGTCCATGCGTTCCTCATGTCCCATTCTCTAGAGCTGTTTTTGACATTAGCAATCTTAGCACCTGATTACTTGAGCACCAACGGGATACCGTGTCTCTCAAAATAACATTAATTGGTTTCTAGGCCATAGATTTGAGAGGAATGAATGATTGCTATTTTTTTTTCCACAGGAAGGAAAGAAAATGGCCTTTCATGGAAACCCCAAATGTGCCATTTCCCCAACAGATGATGGTAATTTGGAGCATCCTCCTTTATACAGGCTTCCCTGAGTTCATTAAAACCCCCAAAAAGGCCTATGAAACTCTCAGATCCATCTCTGAGGGAGAAAAAGCGACCCAGGCCAGATTCTTTCTTCCCCTTCATTCTACCAGTTCACTCTGAAAAGCCCAAATCTAGTTGGATTCATGCTTAGCCAAGGAGACCTTGTAGGAATCTGTTGCTCTTTTTTTCTGTTCTCCAAGGCCTCCCTACCACCTGTTCCCTCCTCCATGATTTTATTTGAAATCTCTTCCACAAAGGATTTTAAAAATTAAAGAAAGCTAATCATGCAACTCTTTCCCTGACATATTTTAGTGCAAATGACTTTCACTTAAAATGCAATCACTCAGTCACCAGGTTTAAAGGACTGATATAGATTTGGTTAGTGTTGAAACTAACTGTCATGAGACACTAACCAATCTATATCAGTCCTTGTGCAGTCATCACTGTGGGAGAAAAAAGCTGATGAAGGAAAAGGCGAGAGACCTGCTGCAAATGTCTCAGTTTTGCTTAAGGTGGGTCCTGTTTATCTTCAACTGGGTGGAGACAATAAAAACTGTGCACCTGGCATATGTGTTCTGCAGCTGCAAACCCAGAAGCTCTGTCTCATATGATTTATGAAAATGTGCTACTTTCTTCCTTTTCATGTGTGCTTGACTTCATACAAAGAAGCATTTTCCCCTGAAGATTCATTAATGAAAGTTACACTGTACTCTTAAAAGGAAGTCAGATGGGATGTTTAATTATTTACAATTGAAAATATAGAACATGTGCCTGGTTTCTGCACAGCCAAAGATATAATTAGAAGTTACTAGAGAGAGAACAAGGTGAGGGTGTGCAGACATTTCAAACATTAAAAGAAAATTCCCCCCAAATTGATCACAAATGTGAGGGATTGGTCAATACACTTGGGGCTCTCTGAAACTTTTTGGCAGCCCATAATTTCTTCGTGATTGAGTAGCTGCAAGCTAAAAAATTGCTTCCCTTCTCAATGCCATTTTGTTAGACATTTTTAATGAAGTAGCAAATTTGTGGCTTGACAGGAAAAGCTCACTGACGGCATTTTAGAATTTATAAGCCCAGCCGACACATCTAGTTACTTCATTTTTAGGTTACTGCACCTGTATAATGTACATGTATCGGTAGATATGTTACTAATGCAAATACCTTTGCAGACACTTGCATGCTGTTTTCTTGCATGTTCATAATGGCTTCAGAAATCTTGACATCTATGGGGTCCATGACCGACTCAATGTTGAATGGCCCCTCCAGTCGCTCTGCCACCAAAAGCATCGCATCTGTTAAAATACAGGAACATGATTTATTTATGAACTGGGAGCTCCAAGTTCTCAACCTGTGTTTAAACATTGTTAAAACAATTGGATGAAAAATAACCGTGCATTCACATTTTTAAGTTTGCTTTCATATAGTCCAAAATGAAATAGATGACTGAATCTTATGAACGTATTTTGTTTGAAGATTCAAAATTATTTTATATGCCTAGAACCAGGGCTGAACATAAGAAAATTAGTCCAAATGCAGAATGTTGAATATATCTAATGATTCCACATGAAGTAAAAACAGTATTAGTTCAAGGATCAACTGCATTTAGAAAATGAGGTCCCACCTACCTTCTTCTGGAGGCTGGGGAAAACTGAGAATAGGAGGGAAGAAGTGCTGATTTGTGAATTTGTATGCATAAATGTCAAGACCCCATTGAAGAATATCTACCTGTGTGAAGAATTTTTGGATCTCTCAAGATGTATAGACCTGCCTGGGTGTGATCACACTATGCAGCATTCTCTGAATGCTATCCTTTTCATTCATTGCAGCACTGTTTACAATAGTACAGACTTGGAACCAACCCAAATGCCATCAATGATAGACTGGATAAAGAAAATGTGGCACATATACACCATGGAATATTACGCAGCCATAAAAACAGATGTGTTCATGTCCTTTGTAGGGACATGGATGAATCTGGAAACCATCATTCTCAGCAAATGGACATAAGAACAAAAAACTAAACACTGCATGTTCTCCCTCACAAGTGGGTGTTGATCAATGAGAACACATGGACACAGGGTGGGGAACATCACACACTGGGGTCTGTTGAGGATTGGGGGCCAGGGGAGGGATAGCAGGGGGTGGGGGTTGGGGAAGGATAACATTAGGAGAAATACCTAATGTAGGTGACGGGGGGTGGGGGGTGGATGCAGCAAACCACCATGGCATGTGTATACCTATGATACCTATGTAACAATCCTGCATGATCTGAACATGTATCCCAGAACTTAAAGTATAATAAAAATAAATAAATAAACCGAAAAATAAAGAAATTACACTGAACTGAATTGAACTCAGTATCGCTTAGAAAGATTTAGTTTTCTATTGAAGACATCAGCTGTATTCAAAGTCTGAAAGCTACTGTGGCCTGGGGTAAAAAGAACAAGTTTTTGGATTGGATCATAAGGACTTAACATAGAGTCAGAGTTTAAAGTTATGGGGTTGAAATAATCTCTGAGCAGGTTCTCTTCTTGTTTAAATTAAAATACTCTCTCCTCTAGCAGAACTTGTCTTTATTTTGAGATGGAGTCTTGCTCTGTTGCCCAGGCTGGAGTGCAGTGGTGTGATCTCAGCTCACTGCAACCTCCACCTCCTGGGTTCAAGTGATTCTCCTGCCTCACCCTCCTGAGTAGCTGGGACTACACGTGTGTGCCACCATGCCCAGCTAATTATTTGTATTTTTAGTAGAGATGGGGTTTCACCTTGTTAGCCAGGATGCTCTTGATCTTTTGATCTTGTGATCCACCTGCCTTGGCCTCCCCAAGTGCTGAGATTACAGGTGTGAGCCACCGCACCTGGCTACAGAACTTATCTTCAATAGGTAAGGTGAGAAGCTGTTTGATTTGTACCATAAAGTGGGGACGTTTCTCTTCGGTGATTTCAGTGTTTCTGTTCCATGTTGAACCCTGATCATGGCACTAGGCTTGTAGGTTCTGAGACCTGCAAACTCATCTCTCCCAGCCATGATAAAAGTACTCAGGTTAACCCTCTCCTCAGCAGGTTCCTTCTTGGTCTTGGGAAAAGGCAATCCTATTGATGACTCAGCATTACTAAACATAAAACTAAATGGCCCCATTTACCCAAACTACCGGTTTCTCTGTTTCTATTCAATTCATTTGCCTTGTTCCATAAATTAAGATAATACCTTTTTGATGTAAGTAGGCACCTATTTATTCTTCTTTTAATGTAGATCACCAGTCAGAATATGCTGCTTTATGCTGTTTCTTATCTGGTTTATGCTATTGCTAATTTTTAAAAAACACAATATAAATAAAAACATGAAAAAAAAATCGATTCTCCTTTGAAGACTCCAAAGCCAGTATACAGTATACATTGGCTTAAAACTTCAGAATTATGCTTAGTGAGATCCTTTGCAAACTTAAAAATTTGCTGAGGGTAGATTTCATGTTATGTGTTTTTTTTCTACCCACAGTAATGAGAACATTAACAACTATTATACTGATTAAATTCAGTTCTTCTTAATCAAAATACCTGTTGATAAATCATTAAATAGCGTGAATGCATGCAAGTACATTGAAACACTGTATTCCTTTTACTAAAAAACACACAAATTATTTAAATTCTTGGAAGAGCTCAGGAGAAACTGTGTGTGAAACATCTAGATAAAATAATGTGGATGTGCTGATTATAATTATACATAGGTTTTTGTGCAGAATGGGAGGAAGACTGACACAGGACATAAATAGTGTGTTTTGGGGCTTATATTCTTTTGATGACAAAGGTGTTTGTGGAAAAAAAGCTACCTGATAGAAGGCCTGATAAAGCTACAGAAATAACATGATGTCTGCAAGTGGAAAAAAATTTAAAAACAAACATACATGTATTCATATGATGTAATCACCCCATCTCCAGTTCCCCTTCTTGTTCTAAACATGTATGACATAATAGGAAAGGTAGCTTTTCAGAAAACTTCTCCATTATTTTTAGAGGCCACTGTAAAGGGTCAGGTTCATGGCTACTGCCTGTAGAGGCCAAGTTCAAACACACGATGAGTTGAGAAAGAAGCAGTGGAATGCAAGAGCTGTAGGCCCTGGGACTTGGGAAGTCCTCAAAGTGAATGGTAGCTCTTCTTTGACCCCAGGCCCCAGGCAGAGAGAGGGTCTATGTGGCCCACCCAGCAGCCAAGTGCATCTCTGCTTGACTGGTTTGCTTCCCACCTGCCAGGCCAGCCTGTCATCAGTCAAGCTCCCCGGGTTTAAGGAGAACCTTCTTTCAACCTTGGGGCTGAGGGAAGCCATGCCTTGGGACGTGATACCTCAACCTCTCTCTCACCTCAAAGTGGAGATAACACAAAAGAACTTTGTGACGTCAAGGCAGTAGTTGGTAAGTTTCTCTGAAACCAGTGAAGTCACAACATGGCATAACTTACTCCCGAGGCTGCCATCCAGTGCTGTCTTAATTATCTCTGTGCCACTTACATTTTGAAATATTGGGAAGATTATTTTTAACTCTGCTCTTGGACCTGTTTTCTTTTGCTAATTAAACCAGAACAGTTACAGTATGTCAGATAATGATCGGTGGATCCTTTCTGCTTACATCTCCTCTGTTGCCCATTTTGTTTCTCCTTAAAGAAGACTGTTGCCTCCCCAAAGCGGTATGCAATTTTTGTTTGGAGAAGAAAATTTAGATATATTAGAAATAACTGGTATCTCAGCATGAGGTGTGGATGTACACAGAAAGACAATGACCCTGTTGGTAGAGGGTTGGTGGGGGGCATGTAGCAGCTCCACCAGAGTTGCCCAACCAAAGGCAAGAAGCCAGGATGCAGGTCAAGCCACACCTCTGGGCCAAGGTGCTCCATGTATAAGCATGGAGTTTCTGGTTAGAAATGAAGACTGTGGAGTCAGGTGCCCAGGTTTCAATCTAAACTCCCCTACTAAATGGCTGGGAGATAATATACAAGCCACTTATTTCACAAAGTATCTTAATCTATGCAATGGAGATTATGATAATATATACCTCATAGTGGTGATAGGCACAACGAAATGAGATTGTGCTTGCAAAGTTATTTAGCACAATGCTTAGCACATAATTAGCTCATAACAAAACTTAGCTTTTATAAGTCACCACCTCCAGGCACTATAAGGGGAAAGGAAATGACAATTTGTAAGATTTTTTTGGTGGAAGTATTGACAACAATTGCTATGAGGAACAAAGGCGTAAAAGGTACATGGATGACTTTAAGATGCATAGCTGATGCTCTTTTGTATGTTAGATTATTCTTTTGATAATAGTTACCTTTTGATGGATAAGTTCATTAGTGAGAGACACAAAGCTGCATTATTTTCTCATGATGTGTTTCTTTGCCAGTTAAAGATGATTGCAATATCTTTCACACTCTTTTCACTGAGAGGTGGGGTTTATGTCCTGTCCCCTGAATCTGGATTGACTCAGTGACTCTTATGACTAATAGCCTATGGTAGATGTGACACTCTACCAGTTCCCAGAGCTAGTATTTAAGAGACCACTTTTTGTCTCTTACAAGACTACTCTGAGATCACAGTGCTGGAGAGGGCATGTATAGGCATTCCAGGTGACAGTCCCAGTTGAGCCTAGATTTCCATCCACCCTTGCCAAGGTACCAGACATATGAGCAAAGCCATCTTGAACCTTTCAGACCAGACTATATGACAGCTGATCACCACTTGGTGACCCCAGTCAATACCACACGGAGCAGAAGAATCAACCAGTTGAGACTTGCCTGAATTTCTGGTCCACAGCGATGTGGTTTGGCTGTGTCCCCACCCAAATTGCATGTTGAATTGTGCTTCCCATAAGCCCCACGTGTTGTGGGAGGGACGCAATGGGAGGTAATTGACTTATGGAGGCGGTTCCCCTCATGCTGTTCTCATGACAGTGAGTGAGTTCTCACAAGATGGTTTTTATAAGGGGCTTTTCCTCCCCTTTGCTCATACTATTCCTTACTGTTGCCATGTGAAGAAGGACATGTTTGCTTCCTCTTCTGCCATGACTGTAAATTTCCTGAGGCCTCCCCAGCCATGTAGAACTGTGAGTCAATTAAACCTCTTTCCTTTGTAAATTACCCAGTCTCAGGCAGTTCTTGATAGCAGCATGAGAACAGACAAATACACACAGTGTACTGATTTATAATAGTAGGATTGTCATTTTAATATTCTAAATTTGAGGATAATTTATTTTGTGGCAAGAGAAAACTGAAAAAGCCAAATGACAATATTTATAAACTACTCAG